AAACCTAAACCCTAAACCCCCCCGGAGTTCTTAGGATGAGCCGCGAGAAGCAGCGCTTCAAGGCATCCTACCACGTCACCTTCCCGGACATCATCGTGGATCGGCTGGCGGCTGGGCAGTGGCGGTTAGCTAGCGTCTGTAGGGCTTTAGGGCGTTTAGGGTTTAGGGCGGTTTAGGGTTTAGGGTTCAGGGGGGGTTACGCTTTCTGGGTTTGCCTTTCGCCCCCAACCTCAGAAGGGCGCTTTCTGCGTGTCCTTCAGGGTAGAAGTGAGTGGCTAAACCCTCAACCCTCAACCCTCAACCCTCAACCCTAAACCCGAAACCCTAAACCCTGCCCCATTTGCAGGCTCGGTTCTCGACAACAGTCCCCCTTCTGGCCTAGCCAGTTCCTACCTTTGCCGTCATTCGTGCCCATGTGCTGCTTATGATGGCACCACCCACAACCATAACCAGAGAAGAGAAAGGTCTACCACTCCCCCCCCCCCCCCCCAAGTGGTACGTCAAGACCCCGAAATCCTCCCCCCCCACCACCCCCCCCCCCACCACCCCCCCCCCCCCCCCCCCCAAACCCCTACCCCTAAGCTCCATAACACCCAACCCTGAGCCTTCCTTGCCAACGCAAGCCCGACACTCCAGGCCCCAAACCCTCAACTCCAGACCCCAAGCTCCAAACCCCAAACCCCAAACCCTACACCCTACACCCTAAAACCGAAACCCAAACCCTGAAACCTTAAACCCTAAACCCTAGACCCTAGATCCTAAACCCTAAACCCTAAACCCTAAACCCTAAACCCTAAACCCTAAAGCCTAAACCCTAAACCCTAAACCCTAAACCCTAAACCCTAAACCCTAAACCCTAAACCCTATCCCAAGAAAGCCCTACTACGCCAAAAACACCCCCAGCCAGGTGATGTGCAAGGAGAAGCAGCTGCCTGGTGAGCCCGGGGCAAACCCGTCTGCGCATATGATCTGCCGAGATCAGGTCCTCTGTCGCTTAGCCCGGTATAGGGCCTTGTGGGGAACCCTAAACCCTAAACCCTAAACCCTAAACGCTAAACCCCAGGCGTTGAAGCCCCGGGCCGCCTTTAAACGCCCGGCTAGGTGCCCCTGTGGACTGGTTGCGGGGTTCAGGGTTGGGGGTTTTAGGGCTTCAGAGAACCCTCCTATAAAAACCCTAAACCCTAAACCATAAGTAGGAGCCCAGGGGCTTCAACCCTGAGGTTTAGGGTTTAGGGTTTAGGGTTCGGGGTTCGGGGTTTGGGGTTTAGGATGTAGGGCTTAGGGTTTAGGGTTCAGGATTTAGGGTTCAGGGTTTGGGTTCAGGGATCAGAGTTTGAGGTCTCGGATTTGGGGAACATCTTGTTGTTTCTCTCTTACTACGGCGGATCAACACCTCAATCCTGCCTAGTTGTTGTTTCTTGAAGGGTCTGGATCGACCCTAAGTTCTAAAGCCAAAAAAGGATGGGGGAGGGCGCGGTGTTAGACATATGCTTTCCTACTTGGTGTGAAGCCTTTCAAAATTTCAAAATCCTGTCCTGCTCTCTGAGGGTTTTAGGTTTTAGCAAGGTGTTAGGTTTGATTTTTGGTATTGCGGGCTTAGGATTGAGGCTCAAGCCCCCCCCCCCCCCCCCACCTATAGCTCAGGTTACTTCGCCAAGCGGCAGGACGACACCTTCGGTCTCCGTGATGACAGGAGTTCAAAGAGGGTTTAGGGTTTAGGGTTTAGGGTTTAGGGTCTAGGGTTTAGGGTTTAGGGTCTAGGGGGCAAGTGATGGTAGCTACAGGGTCTTTGTTTGGGGGGCTCTAAATGGAATCCGAACTTAGAGAACTACCCATACCCATACTGAGGGTCTGGTTGCCTAGTAAAGGTTGGGGGGGGGATACTTGGAGGTTCATGGTGCTTACTAACCAATTATAACTGTACTTATGAGCCCACTTCTTAGCCCCTTAAGTGCTCTAATATGGTTTTTAGTACAGTTTCCCCTAAACCCTAAGCCCTAAGCCCTAAGCCCTAAGCCCTAAACCCGAAACCCTAAACCCTAAACCCTATTCAGTACAGTTATAATTAGTTAACAAGTACCATGAACCTCCAAGTATAGAGCCACACCAAAGAGTCGCACACCCCGAAGACCCGGCCCCAAAACCTACACTTAGGGTTTCGGGTTCTCGGTTTGGAGTTTAGGGTTTAGGGTTTAGGGGTTAGGGTTTAGGGTTTAGGGTTTAGAGGCGTAGCCTCCCGAGGCATTTGCAAGTTGGAGTTGGAGGCGGTGCCTGACCAAATACCAACGCCCCAAGACCCTTCAACCCCAAACATGAAAGAGCTTAAGCCATGCCGAAAACCTAAACCATAAGCTAGACCCTATACCCTATACACCCTAACCTAGACCCGAAGCTCCAGAACCCTTTCGAAAAAAGAAGACCCCCCCCCCCCCCCCCCCCCCCAAAAAAAAAAAAAAAAAAAAGAACCCCAAACCCTAAGCCCTAAATCCTATAAACCCTAAGCCCTAAACCCTAAGCCCTACACCCTAAACCCTAAGCCCTAAACCCTAAACCCTGAACCCTGAACCCTAAACCTAAACCCACAGGATAGCTGAGCTCAAGAAGAGGCTCGACGACCTCTGCGACCACGAGGCGGTCGGTGGCTCGGTACCCCGTTTCAGGGGCTTTGAAGGTTTAGGGTTTAGGGTTTAGGGTCAGAGGGTTTAAGGTTTAGGGTTTAGGGTTCAGGGTTTAGGATTATAGGGCTTGTGCAGTAGACAAGAATCGCGACACGGTCGCTTAGGGCACACAAGGGCGGACGATGTCAGCTTTCTATTCGGCCTCGGAATGCTCCAGAGACTGAGTTAGCTTTCCACGTGTGTCCATGTAAAGGGGCGGCTCCCACCAATAGCCAGCTCTGCCCTTACGGCTCAGTTCAGTCCCAAAATGGGTTTAGGGTTCAGGGTGATCTCCACACCCGAAACCACAAATCCAAGGTGAGGGAGATGAGGCGAGTGGGAGGCCCGGCTTGGGTGAAGTTGTGTGTGGAAGCGTCGATATCTGAGTGTTGCTTAAGGTTGGTTCAGGGTTTGGGGTTTGGGGTTTGGGGATTGGAGTTTAGGGTTTTCAGTGTTGAGAGATGCATGAAAGCCGTGGTGAGTCGTGGCAGGAACGACTGGCAGGAGGTCTTTGACGAGAATGCGCTGCAGCTTGGACGCGGGGCAAGCCTTCTTCCCTAAACCTTAACCCTATAAACTAACATAAACTAGGGGTTTAGGGTTTAGGGTGTTGCTTGGATGTTCCCCCATATACTAACAGTCCTTAATAGGATTATAGCACCCCCCCCTTACAATCCCAATCAAGGACTGTTAGCATGCCCAACTACAAAGCCCTAGACACCAGAAGCCAGAACCCTAAGCTCTAGAAGCCTGTTAAACCCTAGTAAACCCTGCTAACCCTAAAACCGTTTAGCACGACACCCATTCCAAACATTGTTTTTTTGTTTCATGGTCAGCGGCTCCATCAATCCCCAACCCCTAACCCCTAACCCCTAAACCCTAAACCCTAAACCCTAAACCCTAAACCCTGAACCCTGAACCCTGAACCCTGAACCCTACTAAACCCTGAACCCTACACCCTAAACCCTAAACCCTGCCAACCCTGCTTTACCACAGGGCCTGGAGAGTTCCGAGCCGAGGGTCCGTACTTGGAGTGTTGGTGTTTCGGGTTCCCTCTAAACCCTAAACCCTAAACCCAAAACCCTAAACCCTAAACCCTAAACCCTAAACCCTAAACCCTAAACCCTAAACCCTAAACCCTAAACCCTAAGCCTAAACCCTAAACCCTAAACCCTAAACCCCTAAACCCTAAACCCTAGACCCTAGACCCTAAACCCTAAACCCTAAACCCAAGGGATCATGGGTTCTTTCCCCAAGGTGGCACGACCCGCGGCCCGGTCGACGGACCGGATTCCGGCTGCCCTTCACCGACAAGGTGGTGGACGAGGCAAGCTTGGGGTTAAAGTGTAGTGTTTGGCGTTTGGGGTTTATAGGGTTTGGGGTTTAGGGTTCAGGGTTTGCTGTGATAGGGCGTAGATGCTGTGAAGGTTTGGATGCAGCAGCGGCTCGAATGCCTCGTCAGGTGCGAAGAGCAGTTCTGGCCCGATTGTAGAGGGCCATCTAATACTTGTCTCCCACCCCACGCCGTCCGAGGCGGCAAAACCACCCAGACCTATTTCTTTTAGGGTTAGGCCTAAACTCATGACAATCGCTTACTTTCCAAAAAAAACCTTTCCGTCACCGATGGCAACTTTCAGCCAGGCTAGGTCCTCAGCTGCGTAGGAAAGGAGAGGTTTGCAGAGTCAGGAGGAGGGGAGGGTCAGGAGGGGTCATGGGGCCAAGGAGGCCCGGCCGGGCCATGGCGGCAGCGCAGGGTCAGGCGGCGCAGAGTCAGGGCGGGGGCCAGGGCGTGTCAGGGGGCGCCAGGAACACGCTGCAATGAGGGGTCCGGGTCCTCCTGCCCTGGGGCCCTGGAAGTACCCCCCCGAAAATGCCGGCATCCTTTGGCGCCTGGTCTTGGCTTTACTTTATGACCAGTACTGGTTCCGAGGAGAACGTGTTCCGGTACCGGGCGCATCGTGGGTGCCACCGACATCTGGGCTGCAGGAGGCGGGCAAGCGACCTGGGTCGACTTTCACCATAGACGTCGAAGGGCTTAGGCGCCGCCCCCCTTCTGTAGGGGGGCGACCTAGGCCCTGAGTTTAGGGTTTAGGGTGGTGGTCAGGAGGTTGTAGGGGTTTTAAGGGTTTTGCTAAGCCCCTAAACCCTGAGCCTTAAGCTTTGGGGTTAGGGTTATGGGGCTAAACCCTAAACCTTTAGTTTTGGGTTTAGGGTTTATAGGGATTTGGGGTTGTAGGGGTTTGGGCGGGGTGGCTCGCCACTCCCCTCTTTAGGAGAGAGCTGGAAGGGTGAGACAGAGCGGTGTTGAACCGAAGCATAGGGTTTAGGGTTTAGGGTTAGGGCTTAGGGCTTAGGGCTTAGGGCTTAGGGCTTAGGGTTTGGGGTTTGGGGTTTAGGGTTTAGGGTTTAGGGCCACGAGGCCTTAAAAACCGGTTGTCGAACTTATGAAGGGGCTGTTAAGGGATTCCAGGGTATAACCCCGAACGGTCCCATAGTCCAGTATGACTAGGACAACCCTGCTTGACTAAGCCCTACAGGCCCTACACCCTCTTCACCCTAAACCCTAGGCCCTAAACCCTAAACCCTAAGCCCTAAGCCCTACGCTCGATGAACCCTCAAACGTAAAGACCAGGTGAGCAACCCCATCTTCGAGGGGCGTCCAAAGCTTCCCTTGGGGCGGTGGATCGTGCGAGGTTCCGGGGAGGAGGCGCTGGAGGACGACGGATGCGGGGGGCACCCTACAGGTTTTTGGGTACCTTGGGTTGGGGTGCGGAGAGTTGAGGTCGCGCTTGTGGCGTTTATAGGGTTTATGAGGTTAATAGGAATTTAGGGGTCAGGGCGCGCGACGGTCCAGCTGCATGCAGGATTTGGTGGTGGAGCCTCTCCCGCAGCTCACTGACACCGAGTGGGTGCTCCGCCTTTTTGTGAGCTGCCGGATGGAGGCTTTGGTGAGTTGCGGTTACCTCGAGAGGGTCCAAAGTCCAAAGCCTACATTTTTCGCAGGTGACTATCTGTTTCGCGGGACTGCAAAAGGGACCTTAATTGAGAGAACGGGTTTAGGGTTTAGGGTTCAGGGTAAGAACAGCACCGAGGTGCAGCTGGGTGACATCTCCTATTGCAAAGCAGCTGAGCCGACCCACTTGCGGAAGGACTTGGTCGACGAGCAGGATTTTGGGGGCTTTTGGGTGTTTAGGGTTTAGGGTTTGGGGGGCCCCAAACCTACCTTTTTGTAGGTTGCCTCAGAATCCTCTGTAAGGGTTTGAATAAGAACCTACAAAAGAGCCAGGTTTTGGGGTTCTTAAGGCAGGGCTTTGGGTTGAGGGTTTTGGGGTTTAAGGTTCAGCTTTGGAGCTCCGAGCTGGGACTTTTTACTAGAATCTAAACCCCCTAAACCCTTGTACCGGCCGCAACCCCCCAAGAACCCCCCCCCCCCCAAAAAAAAAAAACTTCTTTAGGGAGTATAGGGGCCGTCTGCACGCCCCCACCTCCCCGAAACCCTGAACCCCTAAACCCCAAACCCTAAACCCTAAACCCCAAACCCTCATAAACCCTAAACCCCAAACCCTAAACCCCAAACCCGCAAGACCCCTGGGAGGTGGACCTCTCCTGGGATGGCGACTGCCCATGCCTGGTGTGCAACGGCCTGCGGTGATGAAAGAAGCGGGCCGCGGGGCGCTGGAGACTCCGAATTTGGGGGCTTAGGGTTTAGGGTTTAGGGTTTAGGGTTTAGGGGATAGATTGGGGGAGGGGAGGGGGGTTGCGGGTTCAGGGGTTTGGGGGTTTAGGGGTTTAGGGGTTCAGGGGTTTGGGGGTTTAGGGGTCTAGGTGTCGAGGGGTTTAGGGGTTTCGGGTTTAGGTTTTTTTTTAAAGCTTATCCTCTGAACCTCTGTTTTGAAGCAGAAAGGGACAAGTCGGGCCTCTGACCTCGTCAGCCCTGCGCCTTCCGCGAGTTCAGTGTTTAGGGTTTAGGGTTTAGGGTTTAGGGTTTAGGGTTTAGGGTAAATCCTACCCTATAAGCTGTAAACCATGAACCCTGATCCTAAACCCCAAACCCTAAACCCTGAAACCTAAACTGTCAAGCCCTAAACCCCTAAACCCTAAACCCCGAACCCTAAACCCTAAACCCTAAACCCTAAACCCTAAACCCCAAGCCTTAACCCTAAACCTTAAACCTCAAACCCTAAACCCCAAACCCAAAACCCTAAACCCTAAACCCCAAGTCTTAAACACTAACCCTAAACTCCAAGCCTTACACCTATAGCCTCGGCTTGCAATTCTGTCCCGAGGGTTTCCCGCTCGACGTCGCAACGGCTAGAGCCCAAGTGCGCAAGAGTTAGGGTTTGGGGTTTCGGGTTTAGGGCTAGGGTTAAGGGTTCAGGGTTAAGGGTTCAGGGTTAAGGGTTAAGGGTTAAGGTCTCGAGGAATTCCTGGGTTGAAGTCTAGGGCATAGGGTGCAGGACTGCCGGTCTGAGGGTTTTGCGGGTTTTGGGGTTCGGGGTTTCGTGTTTGGGGCCTAAGGGTTTACTGGTATATGAGGGTCCGTTCAGGAGTTTTGGGTGTGGGGCCAGGTTAGGGCTAGGTGACGTGTGTTGACCTCAAGTCCCATAGTTTTACGGCCTTACGTTTCGCGGGTTTAGGGTTTAGCGTTGGGGTTTAGCTCAGGTTTTGTAGCGCGTAGTGTAGCATCAGCCCCTCCAAACCCTAAACCCTAGACCCTAGACCCTAGACCCTAAACCCTCCACGAAAGTTCCTGAGTTCATCTTGCGCGTGGCAGTGATCGATCGCGCGAACGAACTCGCGCGGGCGCTTGGAGTTTGCTGGCTTAGGGCTCCTTAGGGTTTAGGGTTTTGGGTTTTGGGCTTTGGGTTTAGGCTTAGTACACCCCTTATAGGGTTCTTTGGTAACCTACCAACAAGTAGGTTCTGGGTCTTAAACCCTAAACCCTAAACCCTAAACCCTAAACCCTAAACCCTAAACCCTAAACCCTAAACCCTAAACCCTAAACCCTAAACCCTAAACCCTAAACCCAAACATGTCGAAATGCACACTTGGGGGTCCGGTTTAGGCCAAGCCGAAGCCCGGACCGGCAGCAAGCCCGAAACCCTAATTCCGAAACCAGCCCTACACCCCAAACCCCAAACTTTAGGGTTTAGGGTTTAGGGTTTGGGGTTTGGGGTTTAGGGTTTAGGGTCTAGGGTTTCGGCAGACCCTGAACCCTAAACCCTAAACCTCAATTGAAAGGTCAATTGAAAGGGGTAACTGGCTCTGGGAATTTCCTGTTCGACGATGGATTGAGGTTGCGGGTTTTGGGAGGCACCTCCTCCACCTTGGTAGGGTTTAGGGCTTAGGGTTTAGGGTTTAGGGTTTGGGTTTGGGGGTTTTGGGTTTTCGGTTTTGGGTTTAACGTTTAGGGCTTAGGTTTATAGACAGGGTTTAGGGCTTTACGAACCCAAAGCCTGCCTTTTTTTGGTGTGTTACCTAGGATTCCTCTTAGGTTTTTTCCTATGAAGAAGAGCCTACCAAGAAAGTAGGTTTTGGGTCTTGAGTCTTGAGGTAGTGCCTAGGGTTCTATATATATATATATACATATGTATATATATATATATACATATACATATATATATATATATGGTACCCCCCCCCCCCCCCCCCAGAACCCACCCTCAAAGACATGAAGCTCACCCTCAAAGATGTTGGTCCTTGGGGATGGGGGCGTCTTAATTAAAACGGCCCCGTTTTAATTAAGACGCCTGGAACCAAGAACCAAGAACCAAGATTCCCAGAAAAGTCTTGTGAAGAATCTTGGTTTCCGAGGAGGGGAGGCGTTTTAATTAAAACGGGCCCCGTTTTAATTAAAACGCCTGGAACCAAGAACCAAGAACCAAGATTGCCAGAAAAGTCTTGGAACGAATCTTGGTTCCTTGGGGATGGGGGCGTTTTAATTAAAACGGGTCCCGTTTAATTAAAACGCCTGGAACCAAGAACCAAGAACCAAGATTCCCAGAAAAGTCTTGGGACGAATCTTGGTTCCTAGAACCTGGGCCCATCAGGTTGAGGAGCCAGGCAATTCACACGGCCCTCTACCTCGGGAACCAAGATTCGTCCCAAGACTTTTCTGGGAATCTTGGTTCTTGGTTCTTGGTTCCAGGCGTTTTAATTAAACGGGACCCGTTTTAATTAAAACGCCCCCATCCCCAAGGAACCAAGATTCGTTCCAAGACTTTTCTGGGAATCTTGGTTCTTGGTTCTTGGTTCCAGGCGTTTTAATTAAAACGGGGCCCGTTTTAATTAAAACGCCCCCATCCTTACTTATAATCGCTTAGTACTCGAATATACATTCATAAAGCACGATCAGACTTACTCGGAAATTCCTTGATGCGTGATGCTGTCAGTTGCGGGGAGGTGCACTGATAGAGTCAGGTGGGTGGCAGCTATGTGCTGAGGGCGGTCACCGCGACCTGCATGCACACAGCATATGTGCCAGCCTAAATACTTATTATATAGCTCGGCAATTGACTGCATACCTTAATTTATTAGCTTTCACTCATGATCGCTCAAGTGTTTTGAGCTCTTAGAGTCCTGACGTAGCTGCCACTGGCGGGGAGGTGCGGTGGTAGATGAAGATGGGTGGCAGCATTGTGTTGTGGGCGGCCACCGCGATCTTCAAAGATAAATGATAGCATATAATTGTGAAGCATGCAGCCGTCGGGCTTGTGCTCTTGGAGTCTTGAACTAGCTGCCACTGGCGGGGAGGTGCGGTGGTAGATGAAGATGGGTGGCAGCATTGTGCTGTGGGCGGCCACCGCGATCTTCAAAGATAAATGATAGCATATAATTTTGAAGCATGCAGGCGTCGGGTTTGAGCTCTTAGAGTCTTGAACTAGCTGCCACTGGCGGGGAGGTGCGGTGGTAGGGGAAGATGGGTGGCAGCAGTGTGTTGTGGGCGGCCACCGCGATCTTCAAATATTGGTCATGGGATGTCGACAGGTACATGGCAACGTTGTGATGCGTGCAGCCATCGCGACTTTCAACACTTACGCAGTTCAGTGACATGCAGGCTGTCAGTTGCGGGGAGGTGCACTGATAGAGTCAGGTGGGTGGCAGCTATGTGCTGAGGGCGGCCACCGCGACCTGCTTGTGTAGAAAGTATGTCAGAGACCAAGGAGTATGATCAGCAGCTATCACTGACACGCTGCGATTCGCAGCAAATGTAAAGCTGCTTTCTTATCCCTCGTTGCATTCAGTGCTTAGACCAGCACCGTCGCATCAGTTCCCCTAGTATAGCGGTAGTCACCATGGCATTCTCTCCAGAGTCCCTACCTTTGGCCGGTCAGATGATACTCCACAATGGTGCGGCCTACCTCCGCCTAGAGCCTGCAAGCCCGACTCCAGCAGCACCTGCTCCTCCGGCTGCGGCTCCAGAAGAACCAGTGGCAGCATGCGCCGTTCGACCGGTCCCAGACATGGATGTCGACAAGCCTCCCACGCACGCAGACATCCAGCGAAACATCGACAGTGGCGCCATCCTGGTCCACGCGAGTCGAGTGGCACAGACGGCAAGTGCGCATCGCAGCCTCGTCACCAACATCCAAAAGGCCCCGCACCTATCGGTTGGCATATCGAATGGAGAGTGGGGTGTTGAAGCACAACGCAGGCTTTTCGAGCTTCTTCGCAAGGCAAAGCGTTCTCGTGGCCGAGTGCTCGCTATCGCTGACAAGGAAGAAGGCCATGACGATGACCAGGCCAGCATGAAGCTTCGCAAATCTAAGCGTTCTCACGCGCCAGTGCTCGCCATCACTGACAAGGAGAAAGGCCACGACAAGATTCTAGAGCCCATCGAGGACTTCCAGGACCAAGCCAATGACCCAGACCCTGTGGAGAACTTCGATGAGAGCGGGAAGCGCGAGCTCCCAAGCTCTTCCAAAGATGACAAAGACAAGTGCCCTGACGACATGGACAAGAGCAAGAGTACGAAGGCAGATGACAAAATGAGTCGCCGCGACCCCTCGAACAACTCATCATCCTCCTCTTCATCTGACTCATCCACCTCCGAGAACCGGAAGAGCAACAAAAAACATAAGACAGAGATGGTTCCCCTTGAAGATTTCGAACGTGTCAGCGTGGCTTACGATGAAGCTATTGCAGAAAACAACGAGTTCCGGCAGGACATCTACGCGAAGGACCTCCGCATCAGTGAGCTCGAGGATGGGCTTTTAGCAGCTCAACAGCAGCTGGAAGCATATGAGCGTGAAGTTTGAGCAATGACCGGAACACAGCTTCGATGCCGGACGGCATGAGCGACTTTGAAGCTAGACTATGAAAGACCGAGCAGGGCTACAGTGGCCACGGCATTGGTGACAACAAAGTCGAAGCGACAGGGCTTGTTGCTTCCGTGTGCGAACATGTCATACATAAGATGAGAGGGCATCACTGATTGCAGCGCTTGCCACACGTCTACCTCACATGGCCCCCGGCTGAAGCCCGTAGCAAGACGTAGCATCTCTCGTGACTCCCGTGTTAGGCAGCGCCCCTCGCCTTGGCAAGGCCATGAGTAACTTGCTTGATGTGGCCATGGAGCAGTTCGGCGGCAAGGAGCATCAGTACGAGTCGCTCTCGCTTCCCCGGTGTGGCTTCGTGAACGCATCGACATTGGAGCACCCCATCTCTGTCAAAGACTTCATCACTGATGTCTGTCGGCGTCCTGATGGGTTGAAGACTTGCACATTGGCCTTTGATGTGCACTGGAACATCCCTGAGTTCGGCAATGTCGCCCGCCTAGGTGAAATCATTCAGTCCAACCGCTTGGACGAGCTACCGGACGCCATCCGCCTGAAGAAGCAACTTCCTCCGAACTCTAAGGTCGGGCTCATCGTACACAACTTGGAGGATGGGACCATGCACGTTCTGAAGATCATCTGCTTCTCAGAAAAAATCGCAATCCAACAAGCCATTCAACTTTGTGGAGGCGAGTGCCATGGGCCTGCCTTTAGGCCCGGTCCGTGGGCACTGAGGAAGGCCGTTCAATCCCTCATTGATCGCATTCCGGGCTACCATGTCAGTTGGGCTAGTGTATCTTCGAAGCCTGCTGGGCTGAAACGGTCGGAGTCATCACAGTGGAGCCCAGAAACTGCCGAACTCCTGGCGGGCGTGGCCTTCATTAACCAAAAAGCTCCTGAGTGTGACGCGGAAAACCAACAGTATGTGTGGATTCTCACCCAGATCAGGGCAGACTCAGGATCTCCCATAGCGGGTTGGCCAGAAACCAAGGTACGCATCATGGCGCAAAACAAAGCACGTGGACAGGCCGGTGCTACCTCGGCGAAGTTTTTCCCCTTCAGCACTCGCAGTCTGAAGCCATTCCTGGCGGACTTCTTAATACCCATCTTGTACCCGCTGCTCCTGAACTTCGGTGTGCTCACACTCGGGTGGCCGGGAGTCGGGAAGACGCCGATGCTCATCGTGATGGGCCTTGCCTTAAGCCGCTACCACATTCTCACCAAGGGCATTGACGGTGTCAAGCCGGCATGGCGCCGAGCGAAATCCCTGGATATCTTCAGGCACCGTGTGGGCCTCGTCCATGAGGCGCTGATACTTGATGACCCGCAGGTCGACAATTTGCCCATGGCCGACATCAAGAGCTGGCTCACGTCGGAGGAGGATCAGAACTGCACGGGGAGATACAATGACGTGAAAATGGTGCGCAACAACATGCGTGCCATAGCGTCAAACAACCTGGATGCAGACCGTGAACCGGAGGATGACGACAGTCGTCGCTGCATCACATCTGACGAGTTCTTCGAACTTGCGCGCAAGTTTTTTCAAGGCCACCAGAAGACCGATGTGCTGGCAACCTTGAAGCGTTCTGTGGTGCTGATCTTCGGAAAGCACGCACTGTATCTTCGTCTGCCGGACCAAGACCCCGAAGCCATCATCCACCGCATTAAAACCGATGACATCCACTTGGATGCATTCCTTCCTCGCGACAAGCCCTACTACGCCAAATACAAGATTGGCTTGGAGGAGCTCCTGCCCACGTTTGCAGCGGACATTGCTCTGGAACAAGAGCACCTCCAACAAAGTATGGCCAAGATGGTAGCTGTCAACCACCCGTCCGAGTACATCAAGACAGCCAACAAACTTATTGGGGATAAGGTGTCAGGCTTCGCACGCCTCCCCCAGGCATTCTGGGATCAGCCTGTCAGCTCAGAGTCAGATCATGAACCCGTCCAGCCGGTTATCCCCGGCATTCCCTTGACCACGGCAACAGCAGCTGCCTCGGGCGCACGCAAGCGGCTAGGCACCTTCGTCTTCCCACCTCCAGCTCGTCGAGTGACGTCGAAGAGTAGTCCAGCGCCTTCATCTTCGTCGGCTGCGATCAATCCGGACCAGCAGGAGACGCTTGTTCAGGAGAATGATGAGGATCCTGAAGAGGAGGCTGCAAGGTTCCTCGACGCCTAATTGTACAAGCGGGCCCTGGATAACCTCCTATGACTGAGAAGGATTGGAACGGTATAACGCGGAACCTTCGGGAAGGTCCGAAGGATGCGCGGCGTAAAACGGAAAAAAGGCAACGTTGTAGCGTCATGTGCTCCCCACCAACCCGTCTTTCGTGCGACAGCAGTAGTGGCCATCTGTCACGCCCCTGCTTCCTGGCTTGTAGGTACCGAGCGTCATTGATACTCTTCGCCCCGCCAATCTTTCAGTAGAACACGTCCCATGGCTGGTCGCAAGGTCTTCAATCCCATCGTGGCCAAGCGTGGTAAGCAGCGCCTCCTCGGCAAGCGCCCTGCCGGTAAGAAGTCCGTGGATTACAAGTCCGTCAAGTATGTTCGTGCGAAGACTGCAGTTGATGGTCGCGGGGTCCGCAAGGATCAAGTCCGTTGCTGCCGCTCTCTTCCAACACTCTTGAATGCGTCCAATGATGAGATCGTTCGCCTGCTTATCAAGGACGGGATGCTACCAGATTGGTCGGGGAAGCAGTGTCCTAGATGCAACAAAGGCAAGCTGTCCAGCCTGATGAAGTCTCCCCGGGGCGGGCTGAAGTACCGCTGCAGCCACAAGTCCTGTCACATCTATATGTCCGCACAGCACCTTCATCCATGGTTCACCGACGGCAACGGTACTGGGGCTACGTCTCTCCAAACACAATCAGCGGTTCTCCTCCTCAAGCTGCAGAACATATCGAATGCGTCGGTCCACCAGCTCATGGATGTAAACCACAAAGTTCCGGAGGACGTGTACAACCGCTTGACGTACTCCCGCCAAGAGTACGTGATCGAAAAGCAGAAGAACATTCAGCTGGGCGGCAAGAAGACATGGGTTGACGTGGAGGGAGACGAGGCGAGCTTCGGGAAGGCCGATATGGCCAGGATTGATGACAACGTTGACCCGAGCAAGCCCGTGATGTGGGAACAGTGGTGCGGCTTAATTGAGCGCGGACGGCCAGACACTTTGATCCTAGAGCGCCTCCAGCCCGCAACAACGGAGAAGCGATCTCCTGGGCCAGGACCCATTCGGAAGACAGAATGGCAGCCCATCGGCAAGAAGTACCTGGAAGGCCGCAACATCATCTTCCACACAGACTCTGCCCGTAGCTACAAGGCCCGTCTGAACAAGGTTGTGCATGACAACGTCGTGCACTGCAAAAAAAAGGTGAAGGTGAACGGGAAGTGGACGTGGCAAATGCCCAAGTATGTCAAGGTTACGACCCACACATTGCCGGGCACAAACAAAACAGTGAAGACGAAGGCTGGAACGCAAATCGTCGACCGTGCCTGGCGGTACATCAAGGATCGCTTGTCCCTCAATCAGAGCACACGCCCGGGATCCAGACTGATTCGAGCACAGATCCAGGGAGCTCAGTTTCAGTACTGGCACAAGAACGAGGATCCATGGAAAGTCGCCTGCAAGCTCAGCCACTTCGTCATGCAGAAGATCATGGGCGTGTGACGGGCAACAGGGCAAATTTACTGCGAATGCAACTGCATTCCAACTCATCTGTGTCTATAGGCGCGGGGAAGCGCCCGTGTGTTAGATCTGGCACACGCTGCGAACGACAACTCCATGGCAAAGTGCTCATAATCCTTCTGTGAGTTTCGCAGGCTTCTATAGCCTACCAAGGTGGGTTCTGGGGGGGGGGGGGGGGTAGCATATAAATATATATATATATATATGTATGTATATTAAGAGCGTGAGCCCGACAGCCCTCAGAGGGTCTATATGTTTCCTTCTACTTGGAGGATCAGGGCACTTCGAAACTCAATATCTAACTGTAAGGCCCCCAATCTTCTTATAAGTAGACTGAATAGTTGGAGGTTATGAGTACCCATGAACCTCCAAGTAGGAGCAAGTCCTAGTATCCCCTGGGCTTTAGCATGTTGGCTTCCCATGTCCTTCTCCTTGACTAGGCTCCCTTACCGAGACCCTAAGCCGCAACCCCTAACCCCTAACCCCTAACCCCTAACCCCTAAACCCTAAATCCTAAACCCTAAACCCTAAACCCTAAACCCGAGCTCGAGGCTGGCCGGCGGAAAGCCGGAAAGACGACCATGCACGCCGCAAGCCCCGGATCGCTGCTGGTTGCCGAAGAAGCGGAAGAAGCCCAACACGGGGCTTACTAGATTTTGCTTAAGAACCCCTCCCCAAAAAACAAAAGAATCTATATGTATGTATATATATATATGAAATACAGTCCGTGTAAGGGCAACATAGTATATTTTTCTTGTTTTTCGGGGTTCTTAAGCACGTAGTAGTTCAGGGTTTGCCGAGATGGGCTATTGGGCCTTATCATCCCCCCATCGTCAGCCTTTTTAAGGAGTTGTAGGGTATCATAGACGACCCTAGTAGGGTTTTGTTTCTAGGGTTTAGGGCCAGGGTTAACGGTTTTGGATTTCGCCTTGAAACCGGGTTGCTGTTGAGGAAGGGAAGTCTATGTATGACAAGTTGCTTATCTCCCCTTTTGGTAGGCATGAGAGGTTCTTGCCTGGGAGCCCTTTTTTGCTGCTTTTTGCTTAAGCATCCTAAACGAATTGAAGATAATAATCCCGATATTGCCCTTGTAATGGAGGAATATTTACATTTTTTCGAGGTTCTTAAGCAATTGGTAGTTTGAGGGTTTCATGGGCCAACCCAGACGTGAAGCGTACCAGAATATGGATTGCATCGCAGATCCTTTGTGGGGCGTCCTTACCTTGAAACCGTATTCCCTTCTTCCCTTTTTGCGATGGGAGGGTTGCCCTAAACCCTAAACCCTAAACCCTAAACCCTAAACCCTAAACCCTAAACCCAAAACCCAAAACCCTAAACCTAAACCCTGAAGTATGGGGGATCCGATCACGTTCATTTTGTCCATGACGCGGACGATCTCCTCCGGAAAGTCGAGGCAAAGAGTCCAGCGTCGAGTTGTCTTTCTGCTCGATGCTCCCACAAGCCAGAAAAGTGTTACAAACAATTACATCGACCTGGTGGCCAAGATCGTGAACAAGGCCAGCTTGGCAAAGGCGTCTGTGGGGATCATTTGTGCGCAACGAGCCGACCTGCTCTCGAGCAGCTTGGCGCGGGCAAACGCAAGCTTGAAGGGTATGCAGAGCTACATCGTGCAGCTAACAGGCGGAGAGACACAGGTGTCAACCAAGCGGCCTGGCCTCCCTAGGCGCACGCTGTTGTTTCTCTTTCTGTTTTCGCTTTAGGCTTTTCAGATCAGGGCGGGGAGGAATCCTCTGAGAGGTGTAGGGCTCTTAGGGCCTTTGTTGACGAAAAGGTTGTAGGATTTAGGGTTTAGGGTGTACAGAGGTTGAAGCCCTACTACCTCAATTTTTTGGGGGTTTTCCGCCGCGCAGAACAACCGCTGTTTTTTCCTAAGGCGGCGGCGAGGAAAATCCAGCGATTTTTTGAGCCCACTCAAGCCTCGAGCTTCCCAAGCTCCTAAAGCCCTACTAATATTTTCAACAGCCCCCTAAACCCTAAACCCTAAACCCTAAACCCTAAACCCTAAACCCTAAACCCTAAACCCTAAACCCTACACCCTAAACCTTTCTAAACAATGGGGAGAAATCATATGTTGTCCCCATGGTTTGTAGCGTTTTAGGACAGCCCGAAAACCTAAACCCAGACCCTATAAACCCTAAATTGAACCCTAAACCCTACAACCTAACCCTAAACCCTATAACTTAAACCCCAGCCCCCTAAGAACTCTTGGGCGGGGCCTCGCCTAGATGGGAGTGAGGTCCTCACGCGGCCGGCGGGGACGTCCAAGTATCGCGATGAGGCGACGCCTGTTGTGGGGAAGGGTTTACTGTAGGGTTTAGGGTTTAGGGTTTAGGGGTTAGGGGTTAGGGGTTTAGGGGTTTAGGGGTTTAGGGGTTTAGGGGTTTAGGGGTTTAGGGGTTTAGGGTTTAGGGTTTAGGGTTTAGGGCTAAAGGTTTAGGGCCTAGAGTTACACCCCCCCCCCCCCACACACAATTTGCTTCTAGGAACGGGCTTAGGTGGCCTAATTGGCCCTTATGCTGAGCTGGAGCGCCTTTCAGGATAGTTGGGGGATCTCTTCTTATATGCATTAGCATTTAGGATTTGGGGTTTAGGGTTTCGGGGTTTAGGGGTTTAGGATTTAGGGGTTTAGGGGTTTAGGGGTTTAGGGGTTTAGGGGTTTAGGGGTTTAGGGGTTTAGGGGTTTAGGGGTTTAGGGGTTTGGGGGTTTGGGGGTTTGGGGGTTTAGGGTGTTCAGCATCGTGGTCATCGCTAGCAGACCAGCCTCACCCTTGCTTGAAGGTCGAGGCCCGTCAAAGTAACATACGGGTCGCAATAGCTGCGAAGAGCATTCCCTTAGGCTCCCTGTATACATCTACTACAACAACCCCCCCAAAACCCTATTCTAATCCCTAATCCCTAAACCCTAAACCCTAAACCCTAAACCTTAAACCCGTTATTCAGGCCCCTATTTTACCCAGCCGAAGCGGCTGTGACCAGAAGACAGCAGTTGCGGGCAGGGTGTGATGAAGCTTTTGAAGGCGCGGCTTAGCAGGATTTTAAGTCCCTAAACCCTAAATCCTAAATCCTAAACCCTAAACCCTAAACCCTAAACCCTAAACCCTAAACCCTAAACCCTAAACCCTAACAGGGTGCTAGCTAGAACCCTCACATGGACCTGCAAAATCATCCTTGGGTGTAGCAAGTCTAGTTCCGCCGCAGGTGTAGATACTGTTGGAAATTTCAGCTGCTGATGTAGAAATTAGCTCGGAGGAAGACAGCTCTCATTGCAGCCTTTCTTCTTACAAGGGTCCTCAATCCCCTCCCCCCCCCCCCCCCCCCCCCGCGCCCACTCAAAAAAACAATATGCCCTCTTCATCTATAGCGGCATATTCTATTGGGAGTATTTGTTTTTTACGGGCTGGTATTTATTACGAGGGGGAAGGGGATTCTTGCAGTCCTTGAGCCATCATGTCTGCAACCCCGCAGGCTCCTGCGGTGTTTATTGCGCAGGCATGGGCGGCGCCGCCCAGCTACGAGAAGCGCGTGCGCTTTCTTTCAAGGGCCTTCTCCTCCTTCGGGCCGGCGCGAGAGGCGGCCGCCGATCTGCTCTTTAAGCTGGTGCAGTCCGCCGTGGATCCTGAAGATTTCAGGCGTGAAGATATGTGGAAGTATGGGCCAGCGAAGTATGAGTCCTTGTGGGAGGCTTGTGGGGAGGAGGGTGAGGGAGGGGTCCAGTGGGCCTTGGAGGACGGTGGCCCCGATGTGCCGGCCTTTGCGCAGGTGCTCAAGTTCACCCTGGGCGAGAGGGCCTCGAAGCCTGAAGTGGTATGTAGCATCCCGAAGGAAGATGAGGACGACGTGGGCCGGGGCGAGGCAGAAGAAGAGGAGATGCCAAGAGAGTGTGACCCGGAATGCCACGATCGAGTTTCAGCGGAAGAAGTTGCCAGCGCCTCAAGGTGGTCCGCGAAGCGCCCGCGAGAGGATTCGGAGTGGACGTTTCTCGTCGTCTCCAGAGCCATCGCGCCAGTATATGACATGACTGTTCGTGCCTGCCGTGCTGTTAGTGTCAGTGCGGAAGAGGCGTCCTCCCTGGCTGAGGACATGCTCCTTGCCTGGGTCTAGGGGGGTATATTGAATAGTGGGCTTGGCTGTCTTGTGCCTGCTCTTAGGACGCCAACTTCCTGCGTTTTTTAGACTAACTATCTGAGAACGTCAACTTTCTGATGTTTTTTTTACAAACTCATTATCTGTAGTAGGGGGAGGTTAAAGAATTTTGATTTTTCGGAGGGGGTTACAAGGCCTGCTAAGGCTCTTCGAGATCGTGGACGACTCCTTCCGCGGCGGTGCTGAGGCTTGCGCTCGCGTGCGCTGGCGTCGGGAGGAAGTGGCCAGCTACACGTCCCTAGTTGTTCATTTTTGGGGGTGGGCTGTTGTCGCCTTTTTGGGAGGATGAAGTTGCCAGCTACACGTCCCTAGGTTTTTTTTGGGGGGTGGGCCTTGTCGTTTGTTTTTTTTTTTTTCGGGGGGAGGGGGGGGGGTTGTACACAAAACCCTCAGCCCTAAAGCCCTAGAAGTGGGAGCCCCACTCTATTCCTGGGTTCCCCGAAACCCTAGACCCTCAACCCTAAATCCTAAACCCTAAGACCTAAGCCCTAAGCCCTAAGCCCTAAACCCTAAAGGGAATTCCCAGGTCTGACACATATGACAAGCTTTGGTCTTCCTGTGATGCTGGGCGGCCTCCTGCAGGTCCCTTTGCCAAAGTCGAGGTATGGCGGCTGCCCATCGATGCCTCTGAGTCTGACATCATCTTGAGCTGCGCGGAAGCTGGTGGCCACGTTGCATCCTGGTGGGGTTTCGGGCTTAGTGTTTAGGGATGTTTAGGGTTTAGGTTTAGGGTTTAGGGTTTAGGGTTTAGGGATGTAGGGATGTAGGGTTTAGCTCAGGAATATTTGTTCCGAGGGTTTTGTGGGCCATCTTAGGCATGCACAACACTTTCCGGTGAGCCGGTGGCCAAAGGCGAAGTTCCGTCAGGCTGCGAGAGCTGGAGGAAGTGGATTGCCACAGCTCCACGGGAGATACAAGCAGCGGCTTCACGCTTTAATGGCAAGCTCAAGCTCCTAGATCAGGATGGTCATCTCCTGGCGAAGCTACCGAACCCCCGCCAACCTACGCTCACACTACAGCTGCCCACGTGCAGGCGACTCTCTAGGCAGCGGAAGGCTCCTGTGCCAAGTCCTGAGGGTGCTGGCGCAACAGAAGCTCATGAAAAGACGCCGAAGATCGAGCAGTCTTCGCGGAACAGACATATTTCCGCAGCTTCCTTTCATGTTGCTAGAGCACTCTTATGGGCTTCTGCACCCTTAGGGTTTAGCTTAGGGGTTTAAGGGTAGTTTGGGGTTTAGGGTTTAGGGCTTAGGGTGGTTTTGAGTTTATGGGTTGGCAGGCTTGAGCCAAGTATCATGGTTTAGGGCGCTTGAGGCGTCAGTTTTCTTTGAGACAGTAGGTTATGTATCGGCATTTCCCACAGTGGGGGTACCACTTATCTACCGCCAACTGCTCTAATCCTTAAACCCACCTCTGATGACTTTCGTGTGAGCTACTAAACGGGTGTAAACTACCTGCCATACTACTCTCCTATTCCTTGAACACCCTTCCAGACTTCAATCGGTCTAGGTTTGTGGTTGAGGGTTTAATGCCCCGAAGCCCCTTCAAGTCCCCCAAACCCCAAACCCCAAACCCCAAAACCCTAAACCCGAAACCCGAAACCCTAAACCCTAAACTCTAAACCCTAAACCCCCTTAAAAGACCACTCGCAGAGTTCCGTCTCCAGGGCGGCCTCCTTGAGACGGAGGTGCTCGAGATTCTCCGCAATGAGCTGGGCATGAAGGCTCCCCAAAGAAGAAGGGGCTGTAGGGTTTAGGGGTTTGGGGGTTTAGGGGTTAGGGTTTAGGGTTTGAAGGGTTTGGGGGTTTAGGGTTTAGGGTTTAGGGTTTAGGGTTGTTGTAGGGGCTTCTTCGGAGGGTTTGTGGGGAGCTTTGGAGGGATTTAGGGCTTAGGGCTTTGGAGGGGTTTAAAGCAGTCTTGTTTGTTTTTGGTTTTGTGTGCTTGAGGGTTTTTGTTGGGGGATGGGAGAGAATTGTGGATGCTGTGACTGCGATTAGGGTTGGGATCTTTGAGGGAAATTTTGGGCTTTTGGCAAGGTGCTGTTGGGATGTAGCCGCTTGGTACCCCAAGCCGCTAGCCTTATGTTTTTTAACCCCTAAGCCCGAAACCCTAAACCCTACATCCTGACCCCTTTTTCATGGCGAATGCATCATGAGCCCAAGACTCTTTTAGAGTGCAGCACTTGCCGTGCATCTCTTCGAGGCGAGATGCCCCCCCCCCCCCCCCCCCCCTCGCCCCAAACGGGTTGAGGGTTTAGGGTCAAGCCCTAAACCCTACACCCCCCCCCCTCCCCCCCAAAACGGGTTGAGGGTTGAGGGTCCAGGTACTGAAGTAGAGATTCGAGTTTTTGCGGCGTCACCAGGGTCTCTCGCGTCTCGGCAGCGTCGAGCACTGGGGGGGGGGGGGGGGTAACATCGCTGTTTTTTCAAGCAATGCATGTTGCACGAAATCGCCCCCTACGACCATATTTTGCACCAATGCCAGTCTTGAGGCACAGCTAGAGTCCGTCCTGTAGGGTTTAGGGTTTACGTTTTGGGGTTTAGGGTTTGTGGTTTAGGGTTTTGCCGTCAGAAGACCCATTCAATGGCTCCTGGCAAGCTTCTTTTCATGTTTCAAAAAAATTTACTGTTGCCTTAGCAGGCTTCGGCGTCCAAAGCTTGTTGGGGTGCCCCACAGGCGACAAACCCTAAACCCTAAACCCTAAACCCTAAACCCTAAACCCTAAACCCTAAACCCTATGCACCCTAAACTGGGCTCAGCTCTCACTGGCAGGCCAAGGTCGAGCCTTCGGACTTCGGCCGCATCCGCATCCGCGGCTCAGAGTTGTGGGCTCAGACAGGGTTTGGGGGTGTGTAGGGTTTAGGGTTTAGGGTTTGGGGTTTAGGGTTTAGGGTTTGGGTTCAGGCGTAGGGTTTAGGGTTTAGGGTTCAGGGTGTTTGAGGTCTGAGGGTTTGAGGTTTGGGGTGTTTGGGCTTAGGGCTGAGGGTTTTTTTGGTTTGAGGCTTTTTTGGGGGTTTGCTTAGGGCTTAGGGGCGCAGCCACACTGCCATGGCATGACATTTCCACGTTGTGGTAAAACCCTAAACCCTAAGCCCTAAGCCCTAAACCCTAAACCCTAAACCTAAAACCTAAACCCTAGACCCACTCAGTCGGGAGGGTGTGGTTGACCAAGATTCCAAGGGTCCACCCCAGCACCACGGGGGGTTGCTGCGAAGGGCTACTCATTGGCTTGCACAGTATTTTCGAGCCCTGCCATAAATTTCTAAAGAGGCATTCTGGGTCCAAGGTACGGCCTAAGCAGGCTGGGTGGTAGTTCGGGCTGGAGTGTTTGGGGTTTCGGGTTCGGGGTGGGGGGTCTGGGCCTCGGATTTAGACATGCGGAGGAACGACAAGCCTTTTTGAACGTCCCTGTCCCAAAGCAAAATCCCTAAACCCAAAGCCCAAAACCCTAAACCCTAAACCCCCAAACCCGCCCCAACCCCGCCACCCCGCTTGAGGCTCGTGCGCTTCGGCCTGGAGCGCCGGGAGCAGCGCAAGAAGTCGCGGCAGAAGGTGCAGAGTTGAGGAGGCCTGTCCAGGGTTTAGGGTTCAAGGTTTTTGGGTTTGGGGTTTCGGGTTTAAGGTTTTTGGGTTTTGGGGTTTAAGGTTTATAGGGTTTAGGGTTTAGGGTGAGGGGTTGTAGGGTTTTTGGGGTTTTGGGCTGGGGGTTTTAGGGGTCGGGAGTTTGGGGTTTAGGGTTATGTACGAGGGACCTTTATGTACTATTTGGCGCGTGGCTTGCTGCCTACCACACAACATACTTAATTTAAGAATTTAAGGAATTTACGGTTTTTTTTTAAATTCAAAAAAGCCCTTTTTAAATTTGAAAAAAACCTTGAATTCCTTAAATTCCTAAATACCTAATTTAGGAATTTAAGGAATTTAAGGTTTTTTTAAAATTTAAAAAGGCCCTTTTTAAAATTTAAAAAATTTAAAAAGGCACTTTTTAAAATTTAAAAAAACCTTAAAGTCCTTAAATTCCTAAATAGCTAATTTAGGAATTTAAGGAATTTAAGGAATTTAAGGTTTTTTTAAAATTTAAAAAAGGGCCGGCCCAACAATTTTATTTACGCAATTTCAGAATTTAAGGAATTTAAGGTTTTTTTAAAATTTAAAAAGGCCCTTTTTAAAATTTAAAAAATTTAAAAAGGCCCTTTTTAAAATTTAAAAAACCTTAAATTCCTTAAATTCCTTAAATTCCTTAAATTCCTAAATTAGGTAAATAAAATTATTCGACCGGCCCTTTTTTAAATTTTAAAAAAACCTTAAATTCCTTAAATTCCTTAAATTCTTAAATACCTAATTTAAGAATTTAAGGAATTTAAGGTTTTTTTAAAATTTAAAAAGGCCCTTTTTAAATTTTAAAAAAACCTTAAATTCCTTAAATTCCTAAATAGCTAATTTAGGAATTTAAGGAATTTAAGGTTTTTTTAAAATTTAAAAAAGGGCCGGCCCAACAATTTTATTTACGCAATTTCAGAATTTAAGGAATTTAAGGTTTTTTTTTTTAAATTTAAAAAGGCCCTTTTAAAAATTTAAAAAATTTAAAAGGCCCTTTTTAAAATTTAAAAAATTTAAAAAGTCCCTTTTTAAAATTTAAAAAAACCTTAAATTCCTTAAATTCCTTAAATTCCTAAATTAGGTAAATGAAATTATTCGACCGGCCCTTTTTTTAATTTTTAAAAAAACCTTAAATTCCTTAAATTCCTTAAATTCTTAAATGCCTAATTTAAGAATTTAAGGAATTTAAGGTTTTTTTTAAAATTTAAAAAGGCCCTTTTTAAAATTTAAAAAAATTAAAAAGGCCCTTTTTAAATTTTCAAAAAACCTTAAATTCCTTAAATTCCGTAAATTCCTAAATAGCTAATTTAGGAATTTAAGGAATTTAAGGTTTTTTTAAAATTTAAAAAAGGGCCGGCCCAACAATTTTATTTACGCAATTTCAGAATTTAAGGAATTTAAGGTTTTTTTAAAATTTAAAAAGGCCCTTTTTAAAATTTAAAAAATTTGAAAAGGCCCTTTTTAAAATTTAAAAAAACCTTAAATTCCTTAAATTCCTAAATAGCTAATTTAGGAATTTAAGGAATTTAAGGAGTTTAAGGTTTTGTTAAAATTTAAAAAAGGGCCGGCCCAACAATTTTATTTACGCAATTTCAGAATTTAAGGAATTTAAGGTTTTTTTAAAATTTAAAAAGGCCCTTTTCAAAATTTAAAACATTTAAAAAGGCCCTTTTTAAAATTTAAAAAAATTAAAAAGGCCCTTTTTACAATTTAAAAAAACCTTAAATTCCTTAAATTCCTTAAATTCCTAAATTAGGTAAATAAAATTATTCGACCGGCCCTTTTTCAAATTTTGAAAAAACCTTAAATTCCTTAAATTCCTTAAATTCTGAAATACCTAATTTAAGAATTTAAGGAATTTAAGGTTTTTTTAAAATTTAAAAAGGCCCTTTTTAAAATTTAAAAAATTTAAAAAGGCCCTTTTTAAAATTAGAAAAAACCTTAAATTCCTTAAATTCCTAAATAGCTAATTTAGGAATTTAAGGAATTTAAGGAATTTAAGGTTTTTTTAAAATTTAAAAAAGGGCTGGACCAACAATTTTATTTACGCAATTTCAGAATTTAAGGAATTTAAGGTTTTTTTAAAATTTAAAAAGGCCCTTTTTAAAATTTAAAAAATTTCAAAAGGCACTTTTTAAAATTAAAAAAACCTTAAATTCCTTAAATTCCTTAAATTCCTAAATTAGGTAAATAAAATTATTCGACCGGCCCTTTTTTAAATTTTAAAAAAACCTTAAATTCCTTAAATTCCAAAAATTCTTAAATACCTAATTTAAGAATTTAAGGAATTTAAGGTTTTTTTTTTAAATTGAAAAGGGCCCTTTTTAAAATTTAAAAAAATTAAAAAGGCCCTTTTTAAATTTTAAAAAAACCTTAAATTCCTTAAATTCCTAAATAGCTAATTTAGGAATTTAAGGAATTTAAGGAATTTAAGGTTTTTTTTAAATTTAAAAAAGGGCCGGCCCAACAATTTTATTTACGCAATTTCAGAATTTAAGGAATTTAAGGTTTTTTTAAAATTGAAAAAGGCCCTTTTTAAAATTTAAAAAAATTAAAAAGGCCCTTTTTAAAATTTAAAAAAACCTTAAATTCCTTAAATTCCTAAATAGCTAATTTAGGA